CCTACATGAGCTTGCAGGCTAGGGCAATGAAGGCTGCAGGACTGAGGCAAATGACAACTTTGAGATCATTTTTGCATGAATACCTGGAGGCGTCCAGCTGGGGAACAGGGCTCTTGTCCTCTAACTTACTTTGTTGCATGAGGACTAGTTGGCATTCTCTCATGCCTAATTATAAGGGATGAGAGAGGGGAGGAGCCAAACATACCAGTGGCTTCTGGGAGGTGGCCCAAATTCTGGAGACATTTAACAGTCCGTTCATTACCAGGAAAGGGGCTCAGGTGTAGGTTTCGACAAAGTGTAAATTCTTTACAAAGGAAGTTAGAGAGTGATGGCATGGTTTTATATTACTATATTATAGTAATAATGGAAAATGTTTGATGTCACAGTTTAATAATAGTGTATTTTAAATTCATAACATTACATATTCTTAATTTTATGCAATATTTTGATATTACTTTATTGTATACATTATATCAATCATTTCATGATGTATGTTGTATGTCACTAGCATTACTTGGATTTTTGAAAATGTAAAGAATGCTGAGCTGGGCAATAGTGAATTTTCTTTTTTGTATGTTAAAAATTACAATGGTGATAGTGAGATGAAAAAATAATAAAAACCACAGAAAAAGGAAAACATTAATGCTGAAATCCTGGAACAAACAGAGATGTGAGATGAACAATTGGAAGTCTAACACAAGACACATGGATTACAGAAATGTAATCCAAAAATAAGAATACATAATTATGAAATATCTATGGATATTGCATATCTTAATAAATTTTCAGTGGAACCTATTGAAATGATATATGTTGAATATTATTTTTGAACTAAAAAATAAAATTCAAACTAGTATGTTACTTAGTCTTTGTAAAGTGGATTAGATTCTGCAGGTGTAATGATATACCTTTGACTCAGGTAATAAATTGAAAATTCAGAAACAGGTATTCAGTATTTAAATAAAAAAGTAATTACACAAATTGATCTAAATGCCAAATGTATCATCTGTCTTAGATCTGTATATTAAGTTAAAATCACATTACTTATGAAGCAGAATAAATAGCTGAACTAATATTAATGTCTCTAAAGTATTTTCTTAATTAAAAAATTTCCCCCAAGAAAAAGGTTAGTGTAAAAATCACCTTTGAGCATACTCTACAACTCTGGTGTGAAAAATTAAACAAAAGTAATGAATTATATATAGCTCCATATTCATAGCTTTTATGAAATTTTAATGAATTACTTTAAAATGTCCTTCATTTTTGAAATCAGTTCAGAATTCTTGCATAAATTAAAATTGGAGAACTACATTACCAATAGAAAATGAATACAGTATTTTTATGAGATTAGAAGTCCAATGAGAATAGAAAGATTGAAATGGCTCAAGTGGTGAAGCACCTGACAAGCAGGAGGCATGACAATTTCCAAATAAAAAACTTGGATGATCATCTAATAACTCCACAATGTAAGCTCAGCTAATTTTCAAAACCACAAGATACAAAGACACCTACATTCTGGTGGAAAAGTAATTAATGCATAGTACGAAAATAAAAGATACAAAAAGGTAAGGAAAAAAAAGGTTTTCCAATCCTGTATAAATTTAACCTGCACCTAACCAAAATACACAGCACTTGTCACTGTCTAAGAAAATTGTAAGAGGCATTTCCTTGAAAGAGGAAGTTAAAGGTGTGGTTGCCAGGATGGAAATTCCAACTCCAAATGATATGTAAATCAACCTCCCTAAATGAGAACTCAGGTACACACTCTTTTCTAGGCCCACTGCCCTGAATCAAAGGACCTTTTACTCCTCCTTTTGTGAAAGGGAACTTTCTTTACACTTTTTTTTTTACCACCTGCCGATTGCTGACACATTATATAGAGAAATCACTGGGCCAGGGTATGGTGTTTCTTTATCTTGACCATGGCAGTGTGAGTTTTTGGAATGTGTTTAAGAGTTCCCTTCTCTGGAGATATCCCATTGGCTATTTCCAATTTGCTGTCAGACCCTTTTTCTCCAATGATAAACCATTATTAGTGAAGATTCTATATGTTGGGAACTCTATAGCAGAGAACTTTTCTCAAATGAAGCAAACCATTAATACTGTACTAATTTGAATTTCTTTGCACAGTAATCCCATTTTGTTATGAAATATGGAGGTAACATATAATAAAATATAAAATGTAAAAAATAATGAAGATAAGATAAAGTAGCAACAATGCAACAAGAGAGCAAAAAACTATTTAAAAATTGCTATAAAAATAAACCCATGCAAAAATGAGTCCCCAGTGACTGCTTTTCACCATGAAAGAAGGTGAATCTCAGAATAACAGCAAAAAACAAAACAAATCAAAACAAAAACCATTTAATTCAGTGGGCATTTTTGTTTTCCCAGTAATCCTTGCTACTCAGCAGGCTGAGCAGGATGGCAGTTCATAGCCAGTTCATATAGGAAAGTCCAAAAGACTCATCTTCAATTAACCACCAAAGTGGAGCTGTGGTCCAAGTAGTAGGAGAAAAAAAAGCAAAGCAAACAACAACAACAACCACCAAAAAAACCCTCACGAATACTGCTCATGCCCTAAGTTCAAGCCCCAGGTACATCCTCAAAGTTCTAAAGCAGGCTTTTGATGACTAGATCCTGTTATCCATCCTGGGAAGAAAAAAAAGAAACACCTCTATACTAGACCATTAGGGTGTTTAAACTTTCTATTAGATTGGATTCTTTAAGTTGTAGTACTAATTCCTAAAAATAAAATAAAATGAAGTGGAATACTTAGAGAAATTGCTGGTAATAATGGAGAAGAAAGAAAGTGAATGGTTGCACACTAAAGATGAAGGAATGGCTTTAGAAAAAATAAGTCATAATGTTTTAGGGTAAAAATGAAGAGCACATTAACTCAGGCTAAGAGATTAATAATAACAATGGCAAAGCTCAATTTATACATTAGGCATACTGAGAGATTAACAATAGCCAACAATTGTAACAATACAACAGTTTGCTGTCCAGTTGTGATGGCTCTTTGTTGGTGTCTGTCTTTCACTCTATGTACCCAATTATCGTGCCATCATCCCTGCTGTCATTATCATATGAAGATAAAAAATAATGCTTAGCCAACTCCAGTGGTGCACTCCCTGTAATCCTAGCTACTCAGGAAACAGATCTGAGGATCTCGGTTCAAACCCGGCCCAGGCAGGAAAGTCGTAGACACTCATCTCCAATAAACCACTAGAAAACTGGAAGTGTTGCTGTGGCTCAAGTGGTAGAGGGCTCACCTTGAGCTGAAGAGATGAGCGAAAGCACCAGACCCAGAGTTCCGCAGCATTAATGACAAAAATTTTTAAAAAAGAAAAATTAAAAAGATTGTTTGATAATCAATGCCTGAAAGTCAATGATGCAAACATAGTGTTAGGCTACTATTTAGCTGCTGGCAATTCAGATAGGGGATTATGCTTTCAAAGCTAATGGATCAACACCAAGAAAGGTACAGGATTGATTATAGTAACAAAACCACAAATGGGAAAAGTTATGCCAAGGATACTACAGAACCTATAACCCTAAAGAGAATATTCTGATAGGATAAAACTTATTGCAAATTGAATATTAATAATGTGTTCTTGAAATCCAATGTATATAATGTATATATATATATGTATATACATGTTTATGTCTATGATAATTTTTAGATCATTCTCAAAAACGGCATTGAGTTATTAAATTATATATCAGAATACCACATCATTTTATAATAAAAAGGTATAAATGATATTTAAAATAAAGATAAGAGAAATAGAGTGGAAGAAGAGCTCAGGGACAGATCTTTTACCCTGAGTTCAAGTCCAGCACTGACAGACAAACAACAAGAACAACAACATCGGAAGGATGAATTTGATGGAAAATGGACTTGGGAGGAAGTGACCTAGGAGCCTAGGATGTTTGTTGACTCACAGTCAGGTGATCATCGACAGTCAGGTGATTACTGGTGTGATTAAAGCAGGTGATGGGAAAGCTGGGAGGGGCTGGTCTGTGGGCAGACTTAACCCTGATCACAACTCAAGCAAGAGATAATTCTTGTCATCTCAGCTTTGTGCAAAGTGTGAATCAGAAGATCTCAGTCCAGGGAGCCTAAGCATAAGCACAATTTTCTATTCCAAAAGCAAAAGCAAACAGAAGAGGACATGGCTTAAGTGGTAAAGTACCAACCCAGCATCAGGCCTGACAAATTACAAATTAATGAAGACCCACAAGATACAATGGATGATGCCACGAATGTGTCCTACAGTCCGGTGGAAAAGTAATAAACTCATAGTCCAAATATAAAGCATACACAGAAGTAAAAAACAAAATAAAACAAACACAATAAACTTTTCCAACCCTGGACAAACCTAAGTTGCACCTCACCCAAATCACCTAACCAAATTGCTTGTCCTTGAAAGAGGAAGTGAAAGGTGGGGTTGTCAGGATGTAAATTCCAACTTCTATTGATATGTAAATCAGCTTCCCTAAACAACCAATCAGAGACACTTCTTTTTCTGGACCCACCTTCTTTCAGTATAAATAGAGTGGAAGTCTGAGACTCAGGCATTGCTGAAGATCCCTCAGCAGGAGGAGGCCGTTTGGAGCTTGGATACTCCAGGTGAGGATCAGAGTGGGAGAATCTACTCCTCTTTTAATTCTTCTTTCCTTGGTTTGGTGTTGTTGTTGTTGTTGGTGTTTTGTTGGTTGTGGGGATTGAACCCAGTGGTAGGGCAGTGTTGCTGGGCCTCTTTGTGCTCAAGACTGGGCATTATCCCTGGGTCACTTTGTGGTCAAGTTTAGTGCTTTACCACGTGAGTCACAGCCCACTTGTGATTTTGGAGTGGTAAATAGGAGATAAGAGTCTGTGTCAGGGGGATTTTGGTGCCCAGGCCTGCTTCAAAGCTTGATCCTCATATCCCAACCTCTTGGGTAGCTAGGGTTTTAGGGGTGAGTCACCAGCACCTCATTAGATTCTAGGAATGATGGATCCTGACATTGTCCAGGCCTTCCAGAAGGAACTGAGCTGTGGCATCTGTATGAATACTTTCATAGAGCCAGTCACCCTAGAGTGCGGGCACAGTTTTTGTCGACCTTGTCTCTTCCTTTGCTGGGAAGAGACTCCAGCCAGGTGCCCAGGATGCAAGGGACCCGGCCAGCAGACAAACCTGAAAACCAACGTGGTTCTGAGGAGCCTGGTGGCCATTGCCAGAAGAGCCAGACTCAGGCAGTTCCTGAGCTCTGAGGAATACATGTGTGGGACACACAGGGAGACCAAGCAGATGTTCTGTGAGGTAGACAGGGCCCTGCTCTGTAGGAGCTGCTCCATGTCTCAGGAGCACAGGGCTCACAAACACTATCCTATAGAAAGGGCTGCTGATGTGCAGAGGAAGATGATTTCAAAGCAGATGCATGCTGTATGGGAAAATACTCAAGAAAACCAGCACAATTTACAGGAGAAGAGGAGACACAGCAACCAATGGATTTATTATGTGAACCTCTACCGAGACAAGACTAAGAATGCTGCAGCTTTTTGTCCAGGAGGAGAAAAGACATCATTCCCAGCTACTGATCAATGAAGGAAGAGCCATGTTACAGCAACTCAGAGAAAGGGAAACCTAAATGCTTCAGAAGAAGCACCAGCTCAGGAATATGTTTCTGGAGCTGATCGAAACATACCAGAAGCCAGATGTGGAACTGCTTCAGGGTGTAGAGTTGACCCTAGAAAGCTATGTGTCAGTGTTGGTCTTCACGCCACTTCCTCTGAGGCCACAGCTCAGTGCCCCTCCCATGCCTGGAATGAAAGAGAAGCTCAATCAGTACCGGGTGGAGATTGCCTTCAATGAAACTATGGGGAATCAAGGTCCTGGGAGCAGTGTTAGACATGACCATCAATATGCGGTTTTGAATTCTGAAGACTCCCTCCACTTCACTGCTTTTGGATGCCAAGTCTTCAGCTCTGGGAAACATTACTGGGATGTTAGTGTGGATGAGTTTTCGACCTGGGCCTTGGGTGTTGTTACTGATTCTGTCATAGGGAGCAACCTCAGTGAATCTGAGGACGTTTTCCTCCTTTTGTTTGTGAAAGAGAAAACACTTTACACCATTTTTACCACCTTCCCATTGCTGTCTCAATATGTAGAGAAGCCTCTGGGCCGGGTTGGTGTGTTTCTTGATCTTGAGCATGGCAGTGTGAGTTTTTGGAATGTGGCTAAGTGTTCCCTTATCTGGAGATACCCCAATGATTCTCTCTGATTTCCTGTCAGGCCCCTTTTTTCCAGTGGTATCCCGGTGTCCTAAGTGAAGAGACTCTCTATGTGTTGGGAACTCTATGGCAGAGAACCATTCTCAAATGAAGCAAACCACTAATACTGTACTAATTTAAATTTTTTCATGAAATATGGTGGTAACTATAAAATGTAAAAACCAGTATTAAATGAAGATAAGATAAAGTAGCAACAATGCAACAAGAGAGCAAATAAATATTTTAAAATTGTTATAAAAATAAACCCATGCAAAACTGAGTCCCCAGTGATGGCTTTTCACCCTGAAAGCAGTTGGAGTCCAGAATAACAACAAAAAACAACATTGAATGCAGTGGGCACTGTTGTTTTACCAGTAATCCTTGCTAATCAGCAGGCTGAGTTCTGAGGATGGCAATGCATAGCCAGGAAAAACAGAAAAATCCAAGTGACTCTTATCTCCAAATAACCACCAAAGTGGAGTTGTGTTCACATGGTAGAGGAAAAAAATTCCCACGAGAACAAGGCTCATGCCCTAAGTTCAAGCCGCAGGAACAGCTAGTACAAAAATACAGTACTAGTTTCAGTGACACAAAGTTCTAGAGCAGCCTTTCTGTTAATAGGTCCTGTTATCCATCCTGGGAGGAAAAACACAAACACCTCTCTCCTAGAGCATAGGGGTCTTTACACTTTCTATTAGATTGGATTCTTTAACTTTCGGTACCAATTCCTAAACAAGGGGGAAAAATGTATACTCAGACAAAGAGCTGGTAATAATGGAGAAGACACTAAATGGTTGAACACTAAAGATGAAGGCCTGTCTTTAAATAGAAGAAATAAGTCATCCTTTTGGGGGGTAAAAATGAGCAGAGAGATTCATAATAATAACTATAGCAGGGCTGGGAAGGTGGCTCAGTGGTAGAGCGCTTGCCTTGCATGCCTGAGACCCTGGGTTTGATTCCTCAGCAACACATTAGAAAAAAGAAACAGCCGGAAGTGGCGCTGTGGCTCAAGTGATAGAGCACTAGCCTTGAGCTGAAGAGCCAAGGGACAGCGTCCAGGCCCAGAGTTCAGGCCCCATTACGGGACCCAAAAAAAGAAACAAAAAAATAAACCCAAACCATAACTATGGCAAACCTTAATTTATATATTAGGCATACTGAAAGGTAAAAGAGCCACCACTTGTAACAATATAACAGGATGCTTTGCAGGTGTGATGGCTCTTTTTTGGATAATTAATTGTAGTTCTTTGATCCCCTGTGGCATTATCATATGGAGTTAAAAATGCTTACATTTTGTTTCCCTTTCACCCTATATATTTAATTGTTGTGTGTTCATCCCTTCTGTAATTATCTTATTGATGGGCAAAAGCTACTAACTTGAGATTCAATGATATGAATGTAGGGTTAGACTGCTACTTCCCTGTTGGAAAGTCAGATATAGGAGAATTTGCTTTTAAAGCTCATGGTTCAACAAACAAGAACAGATAAGGTTCAAGATTGATTCATAGTAATAAATCCTGGAAGGTGAAAGCTTATGTCATCGATACTATAGAACTTACTACCCTAAAAATAATATCCTAGATAATTTTCTAAAGTTTATAGCAAATAGAGTATTAATAATGTGCTCTTATAACACACACACACACACACACGAGCATTAGTAGGTTCTTTTATCAGTTTATCATATATATTAATTTAATTTACCATTTCATTTTAATATAAGCTTAGTCATATATTTTGCTCCAACATAAAACTCAAGGACAGTGCATAGATACTTAGTTTAAGCTCCTGGTCTGTTTCGGGGAAAAAAAATAAAATGGATAAGTCACAATAGAAAATAGACATGGAGAAAGTAAACTCAGATTCAAGGATCCTTTTCTGACTCACAGGTGATGGACAGTCAGGTGATTACTGGGTTCAGGCTGGTGAAGGAGATGGGTGTAGGGCATAGGCTTCCTGCAGACCTAACAATGATCACATCCCATCCAATAGCTAGTCAAGTTAGCATATGTCTGTCATCTCAGCTATATACAAAGTCTCAATAGGAATATCTCATCCAGGAAAGCCTAAGCATTAACACAAGATCATATTACAAAAATAAACTAAAAAATGGTATGTTGTATACAGTTCTGGTACTGTACTGTTGAATTCATACCATTTGCTTAAACTCTGCTAACCAATTTACTTATCACTAAATGTTAATAAAATGCAATGATGTTGGTCCAGTTTTTCAATTTAGAAAACCATAGGCAGGTGTTAATAAACATACGGTGGTGCTGCGTTTATTAGAAGAATGTTTGTGTGGTCATGTTTCACTGTATAAATGTGAGTATAAAGAATTCAGTGCAGTCTTTACCTTCCCACACGTGATTTTTTAGGGTGACCTCACCTTCCTATTATAGGATTAAAAGTAGTGTTTGTGACTTTGACCACATTTGGTAGTTTTTGACTGTTGTCCTGTGCACTGTTGTTTTTATTTTTCTCTCATTTCCGAGAAAAAAGGTAAATTACTTGCTGTAATCATGCTGTATTTCCCTGGCTTATACATTTAAATTTCTATTGTTTATTTCTGTGAAATCAATGATACATTCTGACATCATTTTGATATTTTATGTAATCATACAAGCATATACTATTCCATCTTTCTGCAATAATATCTTTGCATTAGTAATTAGTAATATCCTGGATACTGTATTGTTCATTTCAGAACTTCATGATTATTTTTACTACCGGCATAATTAATGCCATTGACAAAAGAACTCAATAAATTAGACGTAGTCAAAATTTTCTACCTTATATATCTAGAAGCACGAACAAAACTACTTTATTCTTGTTTGGGTTATAAATTTGTGGCATATATTGTTATGGATCTATAGTTTATTTTTTATTGTATTTTATTTATCTATTCATTATTTATTTTTGTTTAATTAATTTATTTTATTTGCTAGTTTTTAAAATATTTTATTTGAATAGTTGAAGAAAGGAGTTGCCATTCAATAAAGTAGTTTTTGAATACAATATATCTTGATCTCTTTAATCCCTTTTAACATTTTCACTCATCTCTCCCAACTGCTTATTCTCTGATTTTTTCTTAATTTTGTGGAATATGCATTGATTTTTTTACTTGCTCCTGTTTTCCACCAATTTGCTATATTCTATGTCTACTTTCATAGTAGAACACTTTAATTTTATGCCTAGCAGGAGAGACTGTACAACTCCCAAATTCCAGAACATTTATTTATTTCTACCTTTGTTAAAGATTATCTATTATTCCATTTAAAAATCATTTTATGTGTAATTGAAAAATGTTATATTTGTTAAATTAATTCTATAAAATTTAGGGATTCTTTGTATTTTGAAAGTATATTTGATCATTATCACCTTGGAATATTCTCAAATATTCGTCATTCAGAAGGAAATCTTATACCTGTCTGCAGCTATTCTGAATTCTCCTTAGACTTCCAACCCCAAAGAAACTAATGTTATGCCTCATTTTGATAATTCAAAAATTTCATGAAAATCAAATCATTTTATGTGTTATTTTGTGTCTAGTTCTTTCTATCTAGCCTGTTGTCAGTGTTTCCACTAATATCAATTCTCCATTTCTCTTTTTTACTTGATAATGGGCTATTTCATGAGTATAATATGTTTTGTGATCTGTTTTCCTATTGGTCAGCCTGAAATTTTTTTAATTCTTTGGCTGTCATAGATAATATTGCTGTGATGATGCACAAGTTTTGAACTTAAGTGTATAAAAACTATAGGCAAACTTTCTAGGCTGTACAAAGTTTCTAGGCTGTTTGGTGTTTCTGTAACTAACTTCGTGAGGAACTTTTACACACTAATTTCCAAGATGAATGTGCTATTTTACAGTGTATGAGAGCTTCAATTTCTTTACATCCTTGCCAAACCTACTAATGCACATCTTCTTTTACCCATTCTGGTGAGTATCAAATGACATATCATTTCTATTTTATAAGTGATTTTACATGTGCTAATGTTATTAACCTCCTTTCCTCTGTTTACACATTGTTCGATTAAGAAATTTCAAGTCAAATTCTTTGTCCATTAATTTAGTTACTGGTCCATTTTTTTCCTTGTTCTCCAATTCTTTTCTTTTGGAATAGGAATGTTTACACCATGTTATTATATATTGAAAGTATGGTGCTCCTCATCCTCTCTGTCATCCTCTTCCTCTTCTTCCTTTCTCTTCTTTCTCCTCCTTGTTCCTCTTTCTCTACTTCTTTTTTCTCCTCTTCCTCTTCTTCCTTCCTCTTACTCTACCTCTCTGGTTCCTCTTCTTCTTCTTCTCTGCCCCTCTTCTTCTTTCTTGGACCAAAGCTTCATACTGTCCTAGTAAGCACTCTACCACTTAAAACTGGACAATCCTAGTTTGTTTTTCACATAGGGTCTATTGCTTTTACTCAGGCTTCCCTAGAATTGTGATCCTCCTGTCTTCACTATGAGTAGCTTTAATTAAAGGCATGTGTCTATATACTTGTTATATAATTGGTTTTGCTTTTTTTAAAAAAAATTATTTACTTTTTTTGTTTTGGTCATGGGGCCTGAACTTGGCCTGGGCCCAGTCCCTCAGCATTTCAGCTCAAGCTATCACTTTACCACTTGAGCCACAGTGTCCATTCCAGCTTTTTCTGCTTATGTGGTGCTGAGGAATTGAACCCAGGGTCTCATGCATACAAGGCAAGCACTCTACCACTGAGCCACCTTTCCAGCCCTATTTTGCTTTATTTTCATGGCAACTCTCAGCTAAAAATTTTCTTTGAGTCTCTGTGGACATTTTGAACCTGGAATTTTGAATGATGTTGGAAGTCAAGGCTACAAAGAATTTTGGAGAGAGGCAATGCATTCTGTTACCTCTCCTTTTATGCTAGTGTCAGAAGATGAATGTACACCTTTTGGAGACAAAAGTGGAACGTTTTTGGATAAG